AGATAATAGTGTAATAAGATTGCAATTAACAATTCGTGGGATATCAATTAGAGACTCGCATAGTTTTAAATAGCGGCTAACATTGTTTGTGGTACCCAGCGAGAAAGACGTGTGAATGGGATGGATTTACCTAATTTTAAATTGTCAGGACCTTGACTCCGTGACGGTGCAGTGATAACGTGCTCATCTGCGAAATTTAAGGCTACGTAGGAGTGTAAGTTAGAAAAAAAAATAGCGTAACCGTAATCGTTTTGTGTTTCTAGGAACCGGCCGTCTGAAGCACTGCCTAACAGCAATGCCAGATGTACAATTAAACTATTCACTTTTTTTCTCAGATTTTAAGGCAGAAGCCTTAACGTACATTGTATAATACTTATGAAGGGCAAATGAAGACAGGTACTGAAATTGAGAGAATCGGATTAGAATAAAGTAAAGTCGGGTTCACATGCACGGTTGGAAGTAAATTAGACGTATTGTTATAGGAGCCCCGAATAGCCTACAATCGTCTTCATTTGTTTAGGATCGCTATGGCATATGTATATAATGATATAAGCCACAACAAATAGGTTGATGGTTTTTAGCATCGAGAAAAATCGTTTAATTAATAAAAAACGAAAAACCTTATTCTGTAAGTCGATTTGCCACTAAGCTTAGAAACCCAGAATGATTAATTTCCATTTCAAATAAATTAGAAGATGATCCAGCCGGTTTTGCTGTACTTCATAGATAAATAAGACCCATATTCTTTCGTCTGGAAGGGTGTATTGGCAGTGGTAGGTCGTGTGTCATCTCACAAACGAAACTCGTGTATGATCGTGAAAAGCTTAAAATTACTACAAGATACAACAATAGATCTAAAACAGTCTTAAAAATATATGAAATGAGCCAATTAATGCTGCCGAAACACGGATGATCAAGATATTTTCACGACCTTTACATACGAAATGAATGAACACATATAGTCATCCTATAAAATAAACAATTATATGAATCTACTATGAAACGCAAACAAATTACGCTGTTAATGTTACACCTTAAAGAAATACTGATAAGTAATTGTAAAAATAACAGAGGCAGAGAGGGATAGTTACATGACAAAAAGTAAAGCATATATTCTAAAGCTATATTTATCAGAATATATCGAAAAACTTTTACGCGCTAATAGATGAAGAGCTAATAGAAGAGCAAACATAATGGCTGACTAATGGCGACAATGTGAGTAAAATTACAAAATAAAACTTATTTAGTAGTTTAATATACATATATGAGAATCAGCCAAGAAAAATGGAGGTTTATCTCTTTTGTACTGCGCTGCATACAAACAGCATCAGGATCAGTGAACTTAACGTGGTGACGTATCTTCTTCTTTACGTTGATGTAGGACAACTAGAAACCTTTAGACTTTCCATACAATGAATGTTTGAAATGAATTCGTGCTGTTTGTTGTCCTATTTTTCCTTTTCATTTTGTTGAACACGATTTCGTGGACTGAAACCCATCTGAAAATATTTTTCGTTAAATACAGATTCTTCATACATACTACGCCCGTGAGTGTATTCGACGTTCTATATGCCCCTTAACAAATTTGTTTGTTTAAGGTAAATGTGCTCTAGTGCCTCGGCGAATTGCATTATCAAGAAGAAATCGGAAGAAAAATACATACATACTATAGAAGCTAAATGTGTAAAAGGAAACGTAGAGATAAGATGCATAGGGCTTTATATAATCAGCAAACCGACCATGATGACCAAACTCTAATTTTTAATCGATCACATAAATAGAACAACCTAATTTATTCTTCTCGATGCAAACGTTCCTTGATTATATCTGTGAGATAGTATTTGATTATATACATCGGCGTTGCGGATATTTACGCTAGCATATTATGTCCTTCGAGCACTTTGAGAAACTGCCGTATTCATTATAACGTTTTGATACATTTTACTAACTTCAAAAGTCGTAAAAACCCTGACACCTTTTGTTTGAATTTTATTCTGTCCATTAAATATATCGATTCTTCGCTAATCATTTACTCTCTCCACGGATTACTTCACTGTCGTGTAGGTGATGCATTGTTCGAAGTCGTCGCCCGTCTATTTGTCTGGAGCACGTTGCTCATAGGATGGGTCCATGTTAGCGGAATCACAAACTAACCAGGGGCTAGTAATTTTAGATCCGTTTAACTCAATCAAAAAACAAAGGGAAAAAAAGCAATTTGTCTTCACCAGCCGACTTCAACGGAGCATGACCCTATCGCGTGAAAGCTGTTCATTCCTCCTGATTGTCGAGCATTAAGTACTATAAAGGAAGATATGAGTCAATTATATTCCGATGGTCGAAGCATAAGAAACTTAAGAGCTAGCATTTATTACTTAAAGCACTCTATTAGGATTAACCCTCAGGCGACGGTACCGTCGATGTAAAAACATTACGTGTTTATTGGTAAGATGGGAGCGGATTGCTATCTATTGGAGATAATAGAAATGCAAAGAAAAAGCTTTTTAGAAATATGCAGGAAGGAACGATGAACTCACCGGTGAAGCTTTGTGAGAGAGGAAAGCCTGAAACCTTCGCATTGCCTTATTCTACTTCAACAAAGGGCAAAGAATTCCAAAAAGACCTTGTAATAACATCGAAAAAGGCATAAAGAATAAGAGACGTTAGCTTGATTACGAGAGCTATTTCGAATAAGAACGGGTGGGATCTGAATATACATATATACGTAAACCAATAAAAACATTCAAACTGAGTCATATCCGGTTAAACATGTATCTACTGGTCAAATACTCTGTAGTTTTATTGTGCATTTTCCTATTTCAGATAACTGGGCGATGCGTTTAGTCCTATTTCGATTGCGTTGCACAGATCTGTGAGACGTGTTCTGTGTTGAGCATCCAGATATATGATGGAGTTTATTGACAGATGAGCGCAATGTGAAATTATTCTGTTTAGGTAGCCGATGTGACGCCGTACGATTCATATCTGAACGGGAGATACTGGAAAAGAAGGCATATGGCCGAAAAATAGATGGGTCTAAGTTGAAGGACATTTTTAAATGACATTTTACGCTATCGTTCATCGAAATGTCGCAACTCTCTTTGCGTTGATTTGCTTGTGTTTCGCAAGTCCAGTTGCTAGTCGCTGCGATAGATAGTTAAATGCACAGATCCATGGTCTCGAACTAACCTCATATCTATTGAAGTTCTGGAGTAAAAATGCCAAACCCATTAGCAACAGGACTTCGGAGTTAGAAGCGTTCTATTTTTAAGCTTTATGAATTTTACGACGGCAATAGGCATTGTCATAACGAGTAGGGCTCATACGCCAGCGCATGTAACCTCTTTTTTTTATTACTAATGGAAAACATGGCGCTTATTAAAAATCTTGTATAATTCAATCAAAACTTACAATATGGGATACGTTTTGTGAGCCTTGATTGCGTTGATTCGCAACCGTTTTTGCAGAAGACCAGTAACCTTCTAGTCTGTCCTACAATGACACACCTATTTTTCCTTTGGAGGCTTTCTTATGGATACTATGGGCATGAGGGCTAAAAGCGAATGCGCATACGTACAATATGTCAATCTGAAGCAGGACAGGTACTCCGAGCCCACTGCATTAGCTATGTCCCAAGTAGCAGAAGCTTATCAACTGTGTGCTTCAACATGCTAGTGAAAGCCACAATGTTCCTTAATACAGTGTTCAAATCTGTAAACAACAAGTATTACATTATCTATGGAAGAGCTATATGGACAGGGGTTCATCAGGGCATTTATTGGCGTTTACTTGTTTAATTAAGTGCCTCCCTGTTCTCATAAACTAAATTGGTGACTCAAGCTATTACCCTTACTGTGGTGCGTTTTTGCTCTGTCCTACAGTCGCTCCTGAATATGTTTGCAACTACAAACATTAAGTGGTGTGAAGCTGTATCTAAGTATCATTAATGTTTGCCCCCATGTGTGTCCTTGTTCCACATTAGAGAAAGCTAGTAATTAATAGAATAGATAATAAAATAGCTGGGTGCCTAATCATTTAACTCAGATCGTTTCAGCTCTCTTCAACGAGCAAACAAACGCCATTTCGTCAATGGAAATGACACTTAACAACAATTACGTATGGGACGGGCACGTCTCGGTCATCGGGATCGACTTCGAGTTAACCAAATAAGCATGTCAGATTGGTAACAAACAAATAGCTTCACCCTACATTGACCGGCTCATTTAAGGCTGTTGTATTTATTATGTAACAGAACTTACTACTTTTCCCACTAGCGATGGGCTCTATTCAAGTAAGCGGGACAGGGATAGGCTTGTCTTGCATCGTTCATTGTAAACTGTTCGGGCGCGGCGCTATAAAAAGACTATAGAAATGTCCCTGATTGCCAAAGAGTATAGATTAAACGGTGACGACGCATAAAACAGATATCTTAGTAAATTTGTAGTTATAATAATACTGCAGGAAAATAAATTGGTGAACATGGACTTCATTAGAGGATTGTGTGAACCGAAACGATGCCGTAATACCGACCCTGAGTGTGATATATCGCGAACGAATGTTCTTCTACACGTGTTGGCTTAACAACAAAAGGGGAACATGTCGGTGTTAGGCTAACAAAATTTCTCAGGAAGCTGAAAAATTTTCAGAAAATAAACATATCTACAGAGTGATTTGAGAATAACTGCGTCAATTAATTTAAAAACTCGAGAAAGTGAAATTTAAGAGCAAATTGTAAAGATGTAACTTGATGGAAGCCTTATAGCGTAGTAGCCTGACAGTTTTATAGCGAAGTTTTTCAATTTTTTCTAGGCTTTACCGTTCTCAAGGTAATCGTCGGAAAACTAGAGTAAACGGAGACTCCTACACGTTACGTGCATATCTAGTGAGAACCTGTTAAGCGAATTTAAACGGGAGTGGATACTTTGAGAATACGATGTGTGAATATCTTGCAAATATCGTTCACACAAGACCAGCGTTGAAAAAAATGTTTCTTTTGTTTTAAGGAACACTGCCGAACGGAAGAGCCAGCGTGAAATTGAAGCAGTCATCGGCAGATTATAGAAAAACGCTAAAAAAGGAATCACATTTAGGCAAGGAACAGCAGCTCAGCCAGCAATCATCGCAAAGTAAGGTTATTAACAGGCAAACTTCTGTCAAGTTGGCATGAACTTTCAGTTGTTTCGTCATGCGACTTATCGTGCACCAAGTTCCACGCGACTCGTTTCCATATCTCACCGCCGACCTAGTAGTAGATGACGTTCAGGGCTAGAGTTTGTTCTGAAATAGAGCATCGGAACTCGTGCGAAGCTGTGCTTTAAGTCTGAAGCTATTCGTATGGGGCCAATTAATAGTTAGCAAACTAGCACACAATTAACGGCAACATTATAGCAACAATATTTTCCAATTACTACTATTTCTTCGCTGTTCGCTGTTAAGTATAATCGAACATGCAGAGCCCTTATTTCAGTTGATGGCACGCATGTTTATGGCAGCGGAAAACGCGACAATGGCAGCTCAATAATTATCGTTGATACTTCCTCGCGGCTTCGAGTGTCTAGGCGTCGGCGTTCAGTTCTTCAGCTTGCCTCCATGTTGAAGTGTGTGACTGGATGTAGTCCACTCTCATTTCACGGCTATGGGTGTTTTTGCGGATATCTGGGCGATGGAGCCCCGGTGGATCCCATCGATATGTGAGTTCATTGTTGAGTTTCTGTCAGTCGTATTGTTAGATATTACATCCTTTCTAGTAGAGAAACAATATCTCGCTACTTGACCAGGTCAATTTAAGTTTAAAAACATAATAGACAGATCGTTGAGTCAAAGGTTTGTCTAACTGACATGGAGGTACTGCTTAGAGGTAGACCCAAATCAGCGTAAGCGAGACAAAGTGGGTTTGTGGTCGATTGTAATGCAATTATTCAGTTCACTGACTCGAACCCATTTTTGTGAGGTAGATCATAAGAGCTACCACATAACAACATTTCGCATGAGCATTTTTTTGCAAATGCCACTATTCAGCTGCATAAATTGTGGACTGACGCTTAAGGATGATACTTAGAATTCAAATTGAGGACAAATAAAAGCAACATACGTTGTATAGATATAGCTTTGTTTGTTAGATTGACGTCGGCTTCCCCCTCCTGCTTTGCTCTCCTGCTGAATATGCTACCAGCTGTATGTGGTTGAAGACAGATATCAAATAGGTAGCAATTTGAAAGGTCCTCATCTATGTCCTATAACCTTGCAAATACAAACCTAAGCCGTATCCGCTAGTAACGATTTTACGACAAACTTTCGCCAATCCAGAGATGTATGCCTAATATCTTGAGACGTTATCTAAGACTCTGATTATTTTCATATATAAATATTGTTTTGCACGAATCTTTCTTGGTTATCACTTCTATTATTATGAAGCAGGTGTTGTCTCGAGCATGACTGGTGTTACTCAGCGACGCACTGTTCGCATCTATCGACATATTTGCTTCCGTACTATTGGCACTGCACCGGATCGGGATTCGCTTATTGCAGTAAGGATATTAACTGAGCGTCAGTTTGAGAAAAGGAATCTCGAAAAATTGCTTATTCAACTAGGATCTACATGGAAAAAGTGAAGTGATAAAATGAAAAAGCATTTAGTTTGTTCTATTTCATGTTTGTAGGTAAAAACACGTCCGAGTACACACAGGATAGCACTAAATGCAAACTAACTAGTAATGTACCTACGCGCAAGTTCGAATTTATGACATTACATATGTTCAAGTGTCACAGGGAAATTCAGGCCATCACGGGGAAGATACGTTTGATGCATACAAACTTACTAGGTGAAACATTACTATAATGAGCAATACTTGGCTAAACCTGTACTCAACTTATGCGTCCACTTCATCTACAGCCTTAAGCGATTCGTTTGGTCCCTATACTGGCTGCGGTCAGCAGCTTTGCGAATGCGATCTGCAGTTCGCTCATTGCATTAGTCGGTACCCTTGTCCTATAGATCGGGCGCGTTGTCGCTACCGGGAGCGTTCCGTCACACGAAGCGAAGGTGGATAGCAGGAGCTGAGCTCTGCCCTCAACGACTGGAGGGGACAGGTAATTGCATTCAATTTCGACGATTCTCAGTTACATCTTTGGCATATCAGACAACGTTTATAGCAGTTGTTTACTGAGCTTGTCAAAGGTCATCGAGAGTAAATGAACAAGAGAATCGGGCGACAGCCATGGCTCCGATCGTTCAATGGACGTGTAACGAGAAAAATATTTATTTTACGACTGCAGTTAACGGGTTACTGACAACAGTTATAAGCTAAAATAATACTCCCTTGCAAGTCTGATGTAGAAAGAATAAAAATAATTACAGATTATCTGAACAATCAAGTTGGTTCTACAAGCACAGTAACTTAGCCGCGTTATCTCAAACTAAATGTGCCTTTGGTTGTCGAGCAAGGCTCTTTCAGTGAGATCTTTTTCAGTTGTAAAGGAGTTACCTTCAAGATTGAGCAAATGATCAGTATGCTACCATAGGCCTAACGTCAACTAGCACGAAATAGTAATAGGCATTGTCTGTGGCCTTATGCTTAGCTTTTCGGTAGTAAAGCAGAAAAACAGCGTAATTTAGTCGGTAGCAGTCTTTTAGTTTATTAGAGACCTACTTGGTGTTTGTGTCTCGGCCATTTAAATATTCGATGGGAGCACGTTTACATACAAACTAGCTCCCTGAGACTTCTAGAAGGGGTACTCAATAAACGACGGAGCTTCTACGGTCAGACATTAAATAAAATGTTATCTTTACTATTAAAAACATACATAATTGTTCGATTCGTTTGTAGAAAGCGGCTAGCGCTTACCAACTAAATAAGCGTAAGTGTAATATTAAGATGCTTTTTATGCATTGTAGTGATAACATATTCGTTGTTTCTTTATTTAATCACGTCGGTGGTGCACTACATGTCCGTGGGTGGCGGGGCTTGAACCAGCGACTCCGGCTGTCCTTCTTCAGCTCGAGGTAATCACATAGTAAAATTGGCTTACTTCTTTGGCAATAACATAATAAAGCTTTTTTGTCATATGATTATCTGTTAGTTTTGAAGTGATTCTCTCTCACTCCCTCCGTGTTTTACTACTTCTTCGCTATTCCAGAGCGATGGCCCATGTGCGAAGAGAGCGATTGGGGACCTCGTAGACCACATCCTCAAAGACGCTGATGACGACGATGCAAAGAAAAAACAGTGAGTACAGGAAGAAAAGAACGCCGATGCTCGTCAAGGACGTGAAATCAATCCCTATACGTTGCATAATATGCCGGACAATGTCCTCTTCGATTCTGTTTGAAGTGTCGGAATACGACAATGATATAAGGCTGCTGATTCATTGCTTTTTGAACAGTAGAGCTTACTTCTCGCTAATTCGTATCTAGAAGCCGGTCTAACGAAATCCGTCATAACTTGCACGCAGACTCTTGATAAGTTTGTAACTTGTCGCTGTGCAGGTGAAGAAGAAGAAATCTAAGACCAAGGTCAAGTTAAGCGCGGGCATCCACACGTAGCCATTTTCCCAAAACATAAGGGCAAGGGAGGATACAATGAGTAAATGGCAGCAGCAATGGGAAAATCCACGCACTTACGGAGGAGGAGAACCTCCTGGCAGCTGGACCCGACATCTAATACCAGATGTCAGAAAATGGTATAGCAGTAGTCAGGGAGAGCTAACATATTACCCTGCCAAGTTTTGTCGGGACATGGACAGTTCCAGACATACATGACAAAGATTGGCAAAACGCAAGTGGACATCTGTGTGCTCTGCGAGTCGGGCATGGAGGACGGAGTAGAACACACTCTACCTCACTGCCAGGCACTTAACGTGCTCAGAGACAAACAGGTACGCAGGGAAGTACTAACAAAGAGCAGTGCTAAGGAGATGGTGGATATGATGATAAAGGACAGGACGAACTGGGCCAAAGTTACGGCTTTCTTTGACGATATGATGAAAAGAAAAGAACAACTAGAAAGGAAGAGGCGTAAGAGAATAGATGAAGGGCATACCCGAAACATTCATGGGCCCGATGCACAACAACTGGAATTAGCGGAAGTACAGGGAGAACGGCCACCCTTGAGATCTAGAGTTTACAGTCAGGAGGAAAGCCAGAATGGAGGATGGACTGGAACGGCTCAAAGGGAAGGAAGATGAAATGACCGTTCCTGCAAGTCATGGTTTCGAAGTAATATCAAACATATATCGAACCATGGCCCAAGCTGATAAAGGGGTCCAGGGTTTAGTGGGTGAGAGTCCCACAGTACCGGACAAAGCACAGTCAATGATGTCCGGTCTGCATAATGCATTTGCCCTTAACCTCCAAAAAAAAGAAGGCCATTTTCCCAAAGCTATTTGCCAAATGCCCACGCAAACATCGAAGTGGAAAACGACCATAAGGAACACGCAAAGGAGCCCGTCAGAAAGATTATTTGGCTCAGTTGGTACTTTACATATATTTCTATACGGCATTTATGTCACCTGTGTAAATAAATGATACCTACTATGGTGAGAAACAAGGACCGTTGCACGAGAGACAAGGTTGAAGCATGGAATACGAGAATTTAAGTCCAATTCACCAAGTTTAACAAAAAAAAGGTCATGTCCTTGATACGGTATTATAAATACACTTAGCAAAAAAGATGCGTCTTTATACGTTTAGATTCAAAGTTTCATTTAATAAGCATGCATACATTTCATACCCAACCATGTAAGCGAAGTTGGGGTTTTCAGCTTCACTTATATTCAGTGCAGAAATAGGCATCATCTTGAAAAAATTATGTCTTTCCTATTCACTTCCCGATTGGTCGTAAAGTTGTACACGAAGGCTAATGCACATTAACCTAAAATATGGAATTGTTGGCGGCCTGAGAACGAGGAGAGAGTTTTCGAAGAAGAAAAGATACTACCAGTATGCTGATATGTCGAAGAAACACGCGTGGGCGATGTGTAGGTACGAATCTGAGCGCGCACTTCGTGGCTTCCGTAGCAGCATCCTAAGGGTCTCAAGGACTGGAAGCTGTGGGACACTCTTGGAAGACGAGGATCAGCGTGGAAACCTTTTGACCCGCTAACAGAGTACATAGTATTCATATGAGATGGGATCAAATTCATGGATTGTTTTGGTGTGCTGAAACTTCTCGGTTATCTCAAAACCTTAATCTAAAACAAATGATTGCATCCAGCTGGCGGGCAGGGACACTGCATGAATAGTCAATTCTTTCAATAGTTTTTTGACAGACAAATATTTAATATATAATTAATATAAATTATTTTTCACAAAATCAAAAAATTGTACATTTTTACTTTAAATAACTAGTTATTGTGTCTTTCAGATCCGTATTTTCATCATTATGATCCACCGTTGGACGTATCCACTAACCTCCAGAGTTGCTATACGCTACTTCTGATCAGAAGTCCGATTCGCCAAAGAAATCTGGGTCTCGAGTGCCAGATTGTGCCACCTCTGACGGAGTATTTCCAAATTTTAACAAAGCAGGCTTAGGCGCTAATGGCGAACCAAACTTAAATGAGGCAGGTTCAGGCCTCGCCGGAGTTCCAAAATTCAACGGAGCACGCTCAGGTGCCGATGGAGCACCAAATCTCAGTGGAACAGGTTCAAGCCCTGACGGAGTTCCGAACTTCAATGAAGCGGACTCAGATGACAGTGGAACTCCAAACTTTAATGGAGCAGGTTCGGGTGCTGGTCTTCAGCGCAGCAAGATCTGGTTTCGGCCAAGTTCCCGATTTGTGTTGAACGTGGAATAAACTTCGGCATGGAAGGGTGCTTTGGTGGAAGTATCGGCAGTACGGGCATTAGAAGCCACGAAATCGAACGCATTCGCAGGCAAAAAACATCGGCGGGAAAGAAAAAAGAACCCATTACTTCGGTAAAGATGTCTACTTAACTCTAAAATAACTAAAAGTTCAATTTTGGCTTTCCATTGGGAGACGAAATGCTAATATTATAATAAATTCAATTTCTTTCTTCTGTGATTTCTTTCTTTTTTACCGTTGCCCGTGCTGTGAACATAGCTCCTTATATATAATATTCTAAAAGGTTTAAACTGTATAGATATAAATTATTAACAAATATGACACTTCTAGGCTAATATCGACAAATGGTAATTCAGCCGAAAGTGCGGAGAACACCAGTGAAAAAGCTACAGGATTTTTCCAAATATCATCCATATTTGACAAGGTAAGGAAGATGAGGTGCGCACCCTTAAATAGGGTAGCCAAGTGTCAATTGTTACATGCAATGAAACCAAATTCCGACTGCTCCTTAGGGCAGCGGCGGTACTATGGACAGCACAATCAACAGTTTAGTGATCGGGCTCTATCCGGCGGAATTGTAGGTCAGCAAGGAGAATAGTATCATGGGAAGCGGCTAGGGATGTACTGGCAAAAATACGACTTGGAACGGCTGTCATATAAGTCTGTTTATTCAGCCCCAGAAATCGTCCCGGCTATTCTTCCCAAGCCCCTGCAGGGTGTAACTAATAGTATATGTTATAGATTTTCTTATATAGAGCCATACTTAATAGAAGACGTCTTATAAAAAGGAAAAAGAGGCATGTCTATTTCATATGTACAAAGCAGTTTCGGCATCGTGAAATAGACAATTCGTTAACCTGACGCTCGTCGATCGTTGTCATCAGACCTACGTATCTTGTACAAAGATGTATTAGCCATGAATTGAATGATAGATTATTTTAACTTATTGTTCAACACCAGACGGCGTAAAACTTGAAATATTTGTAAATTATGTTGTTAATATTCTGTTTTTATATGCAATGTATTATGTGAACTTAGATACTATATGCATTGTATTATTTGAATAACAGCTTTACTGTAGACACGGTTGATGATGAGAAAAATTATGATACCAAAAAAATACGTAGCTATATAGCTTGAAAAATGCGCATCGAGCGAATGTAAATGCCATAGAAAAGTGTATGTAAATAAACAAGAACGATTTATAATGAGTATACAAATCAAGCTACAGTAATTCTCTACCTTGAATTGATAGTAGTAAATTGCGTAACACGACGTTTGTTAATAATAGGCACAGCAAATACCGTAGATACGTAAAATTGTATCGTGTTCGCATATTGTTTTCGAAAGAATAAAAGTAGTATTAAAATATCGTTAAAGTTCAATAGATCTTCTGAACTAGGAGTGATTGCAAAGCGTGTATGGCTTGTGTTCTCCCCATAAGGCGCAGACAATAAGTCAGGCAGGTACGGTTGTTTGAATATAACGGGCGCTGCTACATTTGATCGAAGGTAACCTTCTTTTAATTTTTTCTTCAACGACTACGTATTCCGCTTTTACATAAAATTCTACAAACTATAGAATCCTGGAACGAGCAAAGCAAAGGTCCTACTTAGCATAGAAATTGTTTTGACAGTATAGCGTTATCTTTATAAAGTTTAAAAAAGAGTAAAAAACAGCTTCGAGTGTATTTACCGACATTTTTTCAGCACTATCCTCTGAAAATAAAAAAAAATGATCTAGTGAGCAATTGCCGGTCTCCTGCTTCGAGACTATTTGCTTTAAATTTTGTTACTTATGAAAAAATCGTTTTGCCATTTGTTACGAAGTACCATTCTATTTCAATTCTTCTGCATCTCCATGACTCTATTTTCACAGCTGCTGTTTCAGTCGGCATACCATTTATTTTTGACACAAGCACCTGATGCGTCTTCAGAACGCGCTCAAGTAAATCAGGATTGGTTATCGAAGAAGATGTCATCCGCAATTAACCGCTACCTATGATGTCCAGTAAACAGCCTAACCGATTCATTAACAACGGCTCTCGTTAATGAAAGGCATCCTTTTTTTTCATGAAAACGCGAACTGAGATTTTGTTAATTGGCAAGCGTACTGTAAACTAAGTAAAAAGGCAATTCATAGGGTTCCCCTCGAAAAATGAGGAAAGGGTCGTGGAGGTGGAGAAATACGAGGGTTACAGATGAAACTGCGAAGAAAGCCTACTCTACGGGTAATTTTTAGAAAGCACACGACTAAAGTTTGGTGAAAGGATGCCAAATAGGTACCTAAACGAAGTTACCGGAAGAGAGGCATCTTGTGCTGAATATCGCTTAGCATTCTTCTCTAGTTTACATTTGTTTCCATATTGACGGGTTTGGAATACCTTGATACCAAAGTTGATGTCGAGGCGAAGTCCCGCGATCCTATTAATGCTCTTCGTTAAATGAAGTCACGGAAAAAGGTTAACCTCAATATTCGAAAAATTACCATATTTTTTTGGTCTTACAAAGCATCGTGTACCCCATTATAGAGTAACGACAACGATCAGCCGGGAATCAAAAATGCATCATTGATTAAATCGACTTGATAGAAGTTTTACTTTGAGTATATGATTTTTAATTAATACATTTTGAGAAAAGGCACTCAAGCAAAGCTTTCATGTAACGCTACTGGATACTCTTGCTACGGACAACATCGACCCCGACGTACGAATAGTTAGCATATTCTAAGGAAGAGATGCTATATATCCGCAAGGATGCCGCTTACCAAGTATCTGCTAGCGACACTATTACCATTAATATTGTTCTTATTCAAGTATTACACATTTTGATAAGCCTGAAACGTTTCGACTCCAACGTCACCTCAACGATGAAAGCGAATTTGTTCAGATGAAGCTCAAGGCTTCTTAGTTAAATATATTGCTTTACTGTGCAATGTTTTAAAACAGCAAACGAGTACTAGAAGAATATGACGCGTTTTGGGCAGTCCGACAACGTCTACTTCTTTTCGACGCTACAAAGCTATACCGACCAAAAGGTATAATTCAATTGTAATTATTCATCAACGGGAAGGAGAGTTCTAGAAAGGGAGATCTCTCTTAAGGCCCTGTACGTATGATTGTACACAAAGACGTACATAGATTTTGCTAAGGCAAGGCTTACATAGGTGACAACTTGCAAGATAGTGTTACGGTACAAAGTACAAACTATCTACAATAGATGATTTCTTGTACAGATACAAGGAAAGACGGAAGTGTGGCTCAATAACTTAGCTCAATAAAATGCATCTTCTCACAGTTACGAGGGCATGTAACGACAACAAACTTTCAACGGTCTTCTCGCCCTCATAACATATTTTGCAATTTGTATGGATAAACAAAAAAAAATAATGTATAACTATCATTATTGTGTGTATTATAACAAAGACAATGTGATCGTTATATGTATATCGGAAAATTTTCTATAATGGTTATATCACTCCCTAAGAAAAACACGGGATTAATGTAATACGGGAACGTGCGTGAGTAAAACTGCAGAATGAATGACAAACGGAACAGAGGCGCCGTTACCTGTCAGTCAAGTCATACGGGTTCAAGGCTATGACTACGGACGATTTTCGAGGGCGGGACGTCTATAGTTAAAATAAATCGAGCTATTTAAATATGAGGGCAGATCCAAAAGGGCTGAGCCCTTATGTAACCATGTTCTTGACTTTTCCCCTCACTGTTGTTTCAAAGCTAGGCCTGAAGCTGTTCTAACAAGCCGTTCCAATACGTACGAGGCTGATATGAGCTACGCTTCTCTACATTTGATTGAGGTTAGTACGCCATTTGAAGGCAAGACAAAAATTGCTTCACATGGCTTCTGCTCAGAATGAATAATTACAATTTTTTCACTGTACGTCTTCCCACTAACGTTTATCAGGCCAAAATTACAATAACTATATTTCTGTGATAAAAAAGAATTTAGAACCTATACGGAATTGTTAAAGAATGCTGAAAAGTGCTGTCAGGTAGTGTCTCATTTTATGATAGGCTTTCTTTTGCTAAAAATACTCAGTAAGAGCAGCAGATATATTAATCTATTTTCGCACTGGTTACGAGTTACATCTTTTACAACAGCTGCATTTCATTTCTTAAGCGCTCTGCATCCGATACCGATATCTGAAAATAACACAACGACGATCATGGCGCTGCTGTCCGTAGTCAAATTAGCGGGCATTCAAGAATCATCGGATAACTACACCAATGTAAAAATTGGTAGATGATTACACAAGTGTGATTAAAAACATATTTTACAATAATTTACTGTCAAGTATAATCTGAAAAGACAGTTTCGGTATTACTAGTATTTTCACAGTTGTATGTCAACAAGTTTTACGTTATTTTACAATTACGAGCAATCAGGATCCTAACTTTAGCGCGTCAAAAAAGGAGGACACGTTTTATGATCACCATGTCATTGTTCTAAACTCCTCTATGAAACCAGATGGCGCCGTTGGCGTCGCTTCGGCATCATTAAACAATAACAATTTGAGGCAATCTCTAGTCGTCTTAAAGCTAGTGCACAAAATATCCAACACCGTTCTTAATAATTCTAATACAAGTAAAGCCTTCGTATATGAATCTACTAAGTTTGCCGGACAAATCGAGAGCATACGCGTACTCACGTATGAAGATTGTGACACCAAAGTGACTATTATAGTTAAGCTAAAACGAAGTAGCCAAATTAGGCCAAGGCACCTTCATCAAGGCCGTTCTGTGAAGGAAGTCCGGCATGAGAAGAAATCCCTTATGATGTGAAAGATAGCCCCTGATCTTTTCGTTAGCAAACGCCTTTTCAGTGACTCCTGCACGAACAGCGCAATCTATAGTGTGGTAGTTTACCCTGTTTGCCAGCCGCAAACTATTTACGGACGTAAAGATGTACCCCCAAGAGTATTTCGAGTTGGCGCATCCAGTTCAAATTTCCTTTCGCATTTTTCACTTTTAGTTGAATAACATCAGCCCTTACAGCATATAGAGTATATGATATTACTTTACGAATGCTATTTACTAAAGCGTTCGGTCAAAGATGCTATCGAATACTCTTGTCAGCTCCTAAGTCTAGTTGAATGACGCCAGCTCGTATATCTCTAAAAAAATCCTATAAGAATTTTTGAAGTCATCCAATTGAAAGAACAGATTTTCTGCCGAAGCAAATCTTGGGCGAACGTGGGGCGAAGCGCAAATATGGGGATGAATTTGTGAGGAGTCCATATATTGTTGCCGTTTCTAAACAAAACTCGAAGGTACCTATTTGACGGGAATATTGACATGTCTAACAACAATGCTTTTTAATCATATTGTTAAAATCGTCTAAGATGTCGCACCCATTAACCGATAGATCTGTGTTTATACCGACATATAATGAACTGGCTCTTACCATATCTAAATTATTCAGTCGAATAATTCGCTTCAAAGCTGTATCCAGTAAAAGGCTGGCGTTAAAAGTAAGACCCACTGCTTCTTTTGCTAGGGGAACGTTTAAAACACAGGCCTCTACTAGTTACAGTATGCAACGGTTAATTTTCGATTACGACTTATATAACAATCATGCGCAAAAAATGGTGTTTTCTTTAAATAAAAATCTTAGGTCAACTTTTTCTATTCAAGACCATAACTCTACCAAAGCATTGCATTTTTTCCTACTGGTATAGCTTAGTTTTGCTCTAGTGTACGGTTCCGCAGGTATATAATACACTGAAATTTGAAATTGAACATATACTGATTTAACGATAGAAATCAAATAACAGGTTTTTACGACGCAATGTAACAAACATTTATAGATGTTGGTGATACAGTCATATGAAATCGCGAACTCTACGAGGTACGCATTGAACAATATTCGACTCCTTCTATAACGCCATACATTTCCAGGACCCCCATCTTTCTTTCAATAATAACATTCAAGTATTCACTACGTTATTAAATATAAAAAATTTTCGGTGGAGATGCACATGCAACCCCGTTCCAAGTTATGCGATTTATTATATAAAGATCCGCACACTTCCGCGACGAATATGACCCCGTAATAAAAAAATTACGACGAGCCATGAAAACCTTGATCTTTTTGAATTTCTGTCTTTCTACAATACTTCCGTAATGCCGAGACCCATCGTCTGTATGTATAATACCGATATGGTTGTCAATTTTGATTGAAGCTACGATGGGTCTGTTGGGCAGTAATACTGAATATTTAGTTAACATTAATCTTTTATATTATTATTATACACTCCACGATGTGGTTATAACTTGTGCCGACTGCCGTATAGTAAACAAGTTTCTAAACCCTAGAAACATGTTATCAAGAATGGCTCAATTATGCTTGACATTAAAGGATAGCGCGAAGTCAGAATTACTTATGTAATTATGATATTTAAATAACATTCTGCGACAGCACTTTTTACGTAAAGATTCTGCCACAGGCCGCCGGAGTCGATACGAAAACATTTTCTTGGGTAGCCAGGCCTCGTGGCTTGTAGAAGTGTTTTTCAAGAGCAGCGACGATCAGTGGTACTTTCGATGCTGTCGCTAGAGTCACAGAACATCCCCCCCACCTGGAAAACAAATAAAGTATGATACTGGTAAAAGCAATACGACAAAGATACCTTCTTATAGTAATGATAATATCTCAAATCCAACCCTAATTAAGACTCACTTGCACGGTACAGAGGTCTCCATAAAAATATATTTAGGGGCTAGATACTAATCGGACTATGTTTTATTGAAGCTGTGCTCTAATTTACAGGCAAACTTGGCTAAAATTAGCAACTACGCAATAGTCAGATAGGCAAAACAGATAATTTCAGCTATTTAGTAACTAAATTCGGATAACCATTCTGCTTACCCCGCCCCGGTAAGCCTCGATCCGAGAGCTCCATTCTGAGAGCAGATTGCAACAAGCTTGTCGAGTAGAGGATGAGAGCACTCATAGAGGTCCCGACAGCTGGCATGACTTTGCGACATCAGCTCTCCCATACGGTTCACGTCACCAGCCTCGCAAACTCTGCAAATAGAAAATGTACAGTTTATAGTGCATTGCATGCCGACTGGGTGTGCAATCAACACATATGCATTGTCTTGTGCCGGGAATAGTAATTTCAGTTAGCGCACCGATTCACGTCTGCTGCTTGATTAAGGTACACGAACACGTTTTTATTTAATTTACTTTAAATTTCGTAGCGCAGCATAAACATTGGAACAGATTATCCGAAAATTCGTAAAAATTTTATACAACTTACTGTTTGAATTGATATACTCTGTGAGCTTCCTGATAGACGTGAAGAGCCCTGTTGTGAAGTTGAAAATTGGTAAGATTCATAGTTTTCTCTGACAATGCCCACAACTTAAACTCGTCCTTAGACATGCAGAATATGCTACAAAGTTCCTCCAGCGAATAGGGTTCAACATGAAGGATCTTCTGCACCAGCTCTGCACACTCCACCAGCGAAAGATTTAGGCATTTCTGGACATCGTATAACCGAACTCGCTTTTTCCATTCCTCACCACTCTCTTTTAAAATGAGCTAAAACACAACAAAAAAAAAAAAAGATAGTTAATGCATACATAAAATAGCAGATAAATGCTTGGCTAGAAACAGTACAGCGTCCACATAGGTGGACAGTTTAAACTTTTTTTTTTGTTTGTATTTGCGAGGCATGCCATTGTTTCAAAATCAGTCGCTTGTCCAGCTCGAATCAGCGATCAGTTCATATGAAAAATAGAAAATCGGGTGGAAAATGTTTACTTATAAATACATTGTAAAGCAATGGGTTAAACGAATCGTTTGTCTTATTTTCGTTTTAAACATGGAATAAATTTGAATAACGGCACATAAGTGCCCTCTTGGGACGGAAATTCAAACACTTTCTGATTGAACTATGATCACGAATGAGTCTCAAATGCAAAAGACTATTATGTAGAATGTAACGTTTTTACCTGAGCAGCTAATCTGCACTCGACCACTCGGGTATTATAATTCGAAGTGTTTCCCTTGTTGATCTCGACACGGCTATTGGCTACCACAAATACTGCAGTAGAGGGCAGTTGGACGGTTTGAGCTGTAAGCCTGGGCTCGAATTCGATGAGTTTTGCGGAGCCCTTTTCCGCTAGAAGGCAGATTGCTTGATCCATTCCTCCACCCTCGACCCCCACATAGCATTCACACTTCGCACATAATGATGCTAGCTCAGTGCGGGGAAGATCTTCTCTAATATAGCCGAAAAATGACCCGTTCCGAAAATTTCGTAATAGCAAAGGCGGATGGAAAAAACAATTTGGTTTGTTTAGAAAAGAACGCATCTCCTAACAATGAATGTCGACCACATTAAAATAGAATCTTTGGTAGAGAAAAGCTTAGTTTGCCTTGACCTAATCGCAGAGCAACATTCGCTTTAACCGGCACGCTCAATTAGATTAGCCAGCAAATTTTCATGTTTTTTTCAATTGGAGTATGCTATAGAAAAAAAAAATAAGGATAGGGGACTTGCGTACAAAAATCATTGATTAAAATAGTACAGTTAGCCCCAGCAGACTTACCCGATTGCGTTCATTGTTGCCAAGGCAGCGGAACAAACCAAAGCACTGCTAGAACTTAGTCCCGCCGCTGGCGGCACAGAACCTTGAATCAAGAAACGAACGCCAGGAAACGGGGTCTTAGGAAATCGTTCCTGGATTATCTTAACCCCGCACAGGAAATAGTCGAACCAGCAAGGCAAAGATGAATTGATAGTTATGTCATTTAAAGAGCAGCTAAAATCGGGGTACCTTGATTCCATATTTTTCAATTCGATAGTCTGAAAAACATAACCATCAATGATTATGCACCACATGCATGATACACTAGAGCAAAAAGGCTGTTTCCGTTTGTAAATATTTCCTTTATCAAAATAAGCTAGTTATATTTGAATGCAACAAAACAAGAAATTAGCGAGCTGATATATAACAGTAGAACAGTTACTCAAATTACGAATAATATTAACTAAATAAAATGGAAGATTTTTCCAAACCGACAAAAATTAACATTGAAAGAGATACAATTCCGTAAGGTTCAACTGGTCGTAGAACGTACATTCGAATCCGTTTTTTCCGCAGCCACGAGTATGTCCTGCTCGACAGCCATAGGGAAGACCCCATACCCGCAGTAATCTATGTGTTCGCCTAATGTTCAAGCGAAAGTTACAACAGACACCATGTGATTATGCAAGCTGCTTCTATTATATGAACTTAGAGTTAATGTTCTATGACTACTTTTTGCCTTCCCATTGAGCTGCCGTGACAGAAATTCAATAACTCCTCACCGATGATGTTGACTCGGCCTGGAGCGCGCACAACAAAGTCTGCCGGACCGCCGTACACCCGCTGAAACTCTTTGCGAAGGGTTTGAATACGCACGCTCTGTTTGTCGATACTGCAATTGGATAGAAAATCGGCCCTCATAGATAATCTCACGGTCAAAAAAAGTTCTAAAAAGTAAATCCATGTAACTTAGATTTTCTGTGTTGGACTAATCAACTTCCGGCTACCCTTAATCCTGCTGAGTTTAATTTAATGTAATCAATGAGCATAATAAAGACACAGATGTTCATGTGGTGGAAGCCGTTTTAGAGAGCAATGCGACCGATGTAAAAATTATCGAAAAGAGCTCGCAGAAGCGTCTTTGTGTGCCTAGACTCGATAGGGCGATACATGTTATGCAATCCGTACATAACTAACCCGCGCTCCTATAGCGTGATAAAACAGGATGGCACCTATTATACAATAATTACATGCATATATTTTTCTCAATACAATAATTACTCGATTGATTGCTCCTATCTCCGAGGAGCGATAACTAATACTACGTTAATTGTCGTCATTACCACCTGCTACTAACTTCTTATCAAGGTTATGTTAGCGGCATTTTAGCGCAGTAGGCCTAATGTCGGCAGCTGGGATCAGCGTCAGTTCACCTTCTGACTCAGTACGAAACGCCACCCACTTAATCGATTGCTCATTGATTCAATGTCAACTTGAGCGAAATTAGCCCGTGCCCAGAAACAGTGTCTGTGCCGTCAGATTCAGCGGTCCCTCAGGCACAGTAGGCTGAATTCGCTGGCGTGCCGTTCTATGCTGACCTCTTTTTCGATGCTATCCGAAGTTTCTTCACCGTAGATGCATCGCCGCACGTACAGAGTCACGCGCCTCTGACTGATTTGTAATGCCGCAACGGCAGTAAAGAACTTTAGACTTCGTTTCTGTTTTTCCTCGTCAAGGACTTAGGTACTCAGTGGTGCATTGCTAATCTACAGTCGATTCTTCCGCTTCGCACGGCGAACTGAGTATTTGCATCGACTACAGCGTTAGTTATTACCAGTGATGGAGTTTCTATGCTGGTGGAGCAACCTGGGAAGACTTCGATGAGGTAAGGAATATACGCATGATACGATAAATCATGCCGATAATGATGGTAGTTGTAAGTTACACTAATAACAAAATAAAGAGGATAACAATAAAAATAACAAACAGTAACAGATAAAGACGATCCAGTTTGTCAAAGATCTAAATAAGACAATTACTGGAAAGTGTTATAGGGTTTTAGAAAACTTAGAAAACGTTGTTCAGCTGTTTGTAACTGAGAACAATGAGTCGGAGGTTAATGCTAGAATTTGTTGGCCTCGTATTGGCTGAGATTTAGAGTCATTCAGCTAGGAAAATAATCAATGCTTTTCCACACCTTAGCATTACAAACAGTTGCCAATATTTTTATTTTATTAGTCCTTTTCCCATATTGTGAAAGTAACCGGAACTGTACACACATTTTAGACTTCACTTCAAATATCTACAATTTCAATTTTATTTCAATGTAAAATTTCCCTAAGTATTTTTTGAAGCTTTTTATTACGCTGAGGTTGTACCGTCTGACTGGCAGTCGTTGATCTTTATAACGGCTCGTTATATATATATATATAACGAAAATGTTAAGAAAGCTCGACGGACAAAGCTAACAATGATAAGGATGCACTTTTACGATGTAGTAGGTAATAGCATGAAAATAGAGTTAACGAAATAATCGTCATCTGCATTTTACTGTGGAACGGCAGTGAATGGGCGCGTCGGGCTTCAAGTGCCACTTTCCTTTGAAGCGACGCTGTGACCGGCTTACCTGGAGAGCCCGATAACCAATTTCCTGTTTCTGTAAATACATTTTATCGTATACTGGCATAACCAGTTCTCTTTGCTGTTTGATCGTTCCTTGTTGTGGCTTTTGTATCGTACGATAGTTTTGCCATATCGGCCATCTGTTCCTAAACTGTTCGAACGTCTAGTGGCTAGTTATGCTTCACTTGTTTTTGCTAGAGTGTTTCCGTGATGCATTTTAAAAATTACCAGTTAATGATAAAGACTCCCCTCGCTCATCAACCGCGCTCAGAACAACCGCCCTACGCCCTACGACAACAATGAATAGCGTTGTTGACAGTTCAGTATTCCAGATGTTACACGTGCCGTAGGATATGTGACCATCTTGCGGTTAGTCTATTTACAGAACGTTGTCTTGTTCATGTGCGATGATACGTCTACCCCATATCAGCACGCAGAGCTCTGATATTTGCTTTTGTATTATTAGATGGCCTTAAACAAAGCTACCCGAACACTCGTCATTCGCGTCCGAAATCACTGTTGCTTCTCCACTACTACTAATGACTCGCGAGGACCATCGCCGTTTCCGTCGCTGATCAGCCACCGAATTGACAAAGCCTAATTTATTTCATTGTACATACGTATTATTAAGCAGAAGTTTCACCTCTCTTGCTGCAATAATCAGACGTTGGATGTATCATATCGAAGCAACACGAGGCTTATTAAATTTAGCACCGTCAACGACCTTGAAGAACTGGCAATGTCAAGGTTAGCCTTGACCGTTTTTAAATTTAGTCGGAGTTACTTTTACGATGTTTTGTCATACGTATTTTCGACTATCTGTCGACAAGTTACAATATCTCGAATTGATGATAATAATAATAAACAACCACCTAAACCTGCGAGAATTTTGCCCATGTTCTACCGTCCTCAACAATGAGCTAGCGCAATTTACCCTTTATTAATAATGAAAAACAAACAATTATACCCAATGAACAATTATAAACTATATATAAAGTACAATAATATCCATAATACGTGCTACTTAGAATTGTATAAATAAATACGCATTAACTGATTAATAATTAATACGCATTAATTAAATACGCACGGACTGTTCACCCCAGCTGACGGCGTTCAGAGATATTAATCTATCGGCAATGTAAAATTTCAATGCTTCTGAGAGTACCGTAACAGATCCTCTGATTATACAAGTACTACCGTTTGACGTTAATTTATGCGTCACCTCTTACCGGCATATAGATTTTGCATATAGAAGCGCATGAGCGTTAACTTCAGTTTCGTTATGTAACGCACTGCTTAAAAAATCGTATACAATAGTATGTGCTTCATAACGAGTAAAGGCGTGTACACCTTTGCCGTGGCTTTACTTTTTTCGATTCAAACAGTCAATCAGTTGTCTTTTAGCAGGCACTAAAAATCCATGTACCGAAGTCTGAACATCAAGCATAATCCATCTGTTCAACTATAAGAATACAACGCCGCAAAAACCGAAAAAAAAAACCTATAACTACCCCGATAATTTTTATGTCGAAAGTCATCAGGTACCAACCTCATGTTGTTGTGATGAGAAAACTCCACACGATTTGTCTTTCTCTAGTCGTAGGAAAACACAATTCTACTGTAAAGCGCTTGCCTTCTGAGTGAACAGAGTTTTATGAACTTGAACACTCCTCGTTGAATTGTCACTCAAAACTGATTCAGTGGATTAGTTGATTGTAAACATATACGGGAATCTAGCGTCAAACGAGTATGGCCAAAAAAGGCGGCGATGCCGTCTCGATTGTGAAAGCTGTGATTACACCCATAGAATGGCTCTAAGGTGGAGAATAGAGAGATTTCGTTTAATAACATGCTAGAATATATCGAACGTATACCACTTTTTGCTGAACGTTTTCCAAACAGCCTCTAGCGACCGCTGTTGCCATAGCACTGACGGCATCGAGGGAGAGACAATCCTTCAAAGCCGGCCACTGCAGTGCGATGTTCGTTTGTAAAAGATACGTCTTAGGTAAGCATTCGATTCTGCCAAGAGTAATTTACGGATGTTGGAAGGTGAGCATGTCCGTGCGCAAGGCTGCCTACCTTTCTGTATTGGGTCCTCTCCAGCGGTACGCCGTATTCGTGCCAATGCCTACAGGAAAGACATTCAAGAGCACCGCTTAAGGCGGCACTAGCCAAATGGTGTTGCAACCACAACGACAAAAACAAAAACGGCAGCACATGTCAGAAGGGCGGCCGCTCCGCTCTCGCGCTCCCAGTAGAGGCGGGAATCTGGTTCTTTTTAGATGGTAGGACCCTGTCGCATCCTATGCCGTATGCTTTCTTGGTGCAAATCGAACTCACTGTGAGTGCGCGAAAAATGACTCTATCCATATGACTAACAATATGTATGATAGATTGCAACAAGCCGGATAATAGACAGCAAATAGGTGCTAGCTTGAGCGTGATAAGCACTAATCTTTAGTCGACATGCTGCCTCTACTCGATCAGGAGCCTAATCCTTTATAATCGGGTGCTAGATTTATGGAAACATAATAATTTCTGTTTATAGTAAAACGGCATTACATTGACACGCTTGGAATATTTTGCTTACTTGAAACCACATCTTAGATATGATTTGGAAAACCTAATTGCTTTTACCAGTACAATAAAACTTCTCAAAAAGGGCTTTTAATTGTTTTTTAAATTTAACGCAGGAGAAATTCAAACACTTTTTCTATCGTGTCCGGAAAAATAGTACAGTAATACATCCCAATAAGATTTAATTATTACTATTTATTATTGCATAATATTAAAAATTAACACGTTCATTTTCCGTAGTTCAACTGTGATCGCACTAAATAATTATTAATATTTTATAGCACAAAGGGGTGATCTGGGAGCAGATGATCTGATTTGAAATGCTCCTGAGTTTCCCTGTTGTTAACTCCAAACGTATACCCATATGACTAGAGTAAAGTCGTAAAGTATTAGCTTGTAATTTTGGCAAAACCTAGAGCAGTTTCATTGGATGTACTCTTAGGTTGGATGAGGACCTTATCGCGAGGCCAGTTACATTCAGTACGGAAGACCAATGAATCAGATTAATTTCTTAAAACCTAAACAATTTAGACTACAAGTATTAGCTAACGGTAAACTAATCCAACGGTTTGACTGTAATAAAGAATTAGATATTCTCTTTATGATATTTCGCAGTAACTTTAAGCTCTGATATTGGGTCGAACTATAATACACACACCAAGGCAGACAACCAAAATACCGTGTTGCATTACATGAAAAGGCTTTGTGAAATACATTTGTGTAGGATACTACGTAAAGTATTTTGAGCCATTCTAGGAAGCTAGTGGCTGGAAGTTCAAGAAAGTTCTTGAACGAGAAGTATTTTTCATACATTTTTATACCCCCCCCCCCCCCCCGCCAAACAACAATCGCTTGAAAAGCTTTACACTTAGTTGGCAGCGAATCGCCAGTTCCGTACACCCGTAGGTTTTTGCTCTCTCCATTTCTCTTTCTCTCTTGACGTGTTTCGTCATCAAAACAAATATGGCGTCGCCCACGGAGCAACCAAATGTTCGCCAGTAGTTAGCCAATAACAGCTATTCTTGTAGAGTTTCTCCGTGTCCACGGTGGCATAGCAGTTATCTTGTGTACGGGCTGGAGCTTGCTGGCGAGTGAACTGCGAGCGCGTTTTACAAGAACCGTTTCTGCGTGCTGTGCCTGCGAGGCAAGAAAGAGGTAATTGTTACTCCCGACTAATTAGAGCAATAAAGAGGCGTCAGGATAGAATATCTATATATCTATCTGCAGAATAAGCATGTAATAGTAATATAGGCGAGGGACGAGGCGGCCCGTTCTTCATTGTTAGTCTGAGCAGCGTACATGAACGCTGCAGGATGAATGTCTGCTAGGGTCCATGATGCCTCTGTAAGGGTTTCCACTCGACACTGTAGACAGCGACAGAAACAAATACGGAAGAACGCCCGTAATCGCTCATATGTTTTCAACTTTAAGGGAGAATCCATCAGCTCAAGCTACCCTCCGAGCATATGAGCGATATGGAGCCATCAATGGAGAATTTTTGGTTGTTAAGACTTGTGTTCAATGTAATAGGTTATGCCACTGTAGCATTACCCATGTTTCTTCTCGTATGGTATATCAAGAAGAATAAGTTATGCCAAAGTGAGAAAAACCGCAGGAACTGGCTGGTGAGACTTTCCCGACTTTTGGTGTACGGTAAACTCGACTACGAGCGTGTCTCATTGGAACTCCGCGGTTCGGCCGAGCAGCCAACGGAGAAGCAACGCACTTTTATAGGTAAAGCTTTCGTCCTGAGTTTTTGCTTCATCGGACTGCAGGTGTCGTACCTGACATGGGGCGTACTTCAGGAAAAAATCATGACCCAAAAATACTATTCGAACGCGTCGGAGACTGGTCAGTCGTTTAACAACTCACAATTTCTCGTGTTCGTTAATCGAGTTTTAGCATTCGTATTAGCTGCCGTCTATCTTGTTGTCGCTCCAAAGCAACCCCCGCACACGGCACCCCTTTATAAGTACTTCTACTGCTCGTTTTCCAACGTCCTCTCATCGTGGTTCCAATACGAGGCGCTTAAATTCGTCTCTTTCCCTACCCAAGTCCTTGCCAAAGCTTCGAAAATCATTCCCGTTATGCTGATGGGTAAAGTTGTGTCGCGGAAGAGCTACCAAAATTACGAATACGTTGTCGCGGTAATGATCTCGCTTGGCATGAGCATGTTTCTGCTATCGAGGCCCGTCAACTCAAACAAGCCCCGGGTCGAATCAACTTCATTTTCCGGAGCGATCATACTTGCCACGTACATGCTTACTGATTCATTCACATCGAACTGGCAGGGCGAACTATTCAACAAGTACAAGATGTCCTTCATTCAGATGATGTGTGGAGTTAACCTCTATTCTACGTTATTAACGTTTGTGTCACTTCTGCAGCAGGGCGCACTCATGACGTCACTGCGGTTCGCATCGACGCACTACATGTTTGCCTACGACTGTATTGTGCTATCGATTTGTTCGGCTACCGGACAGTTGTTTGTGTTCTATACAATTTCACAATTTGGTCCAGTTTCTTTTGTTATTATGATGACAATCCGGCAGGCAGTTGCAATCCCTCTATCGTGCTTGATCTATCGGCACAGTATCGATGCGCTCGGCATAACCGGCATGGTCATCATTTTTACTGCCATTTTCTTCAAGATCTGGTACGGTCAACGGCGGAAACGGAAGCCAGCAAGTGTTCGATTTGGAACAGGAGGATCTCCGACGAAACCAGCTACGCGTAATGGACAGTACGAACATCCTGATCAGGAACGACTAGTGGCACAACAACGAGAGGAGGAAACTGTCTAGAAAAAAAAAAAAATATCTGATGTATTGTAGACTCGTTCAATTGTAGGATGTGACTGCTCTATAGGACTCACACTCGTACTAAGATCAACGGATAAACTTTTTATAAGCGATATCGTTAGAAGGAATCTGCTCGTACGTAGAAAACGTAGACACATTAAGTGATGATAAAAAGAAATTTACTTGAGACAGACCTTGATGCAATTTAACTCTAATGTATTCGTTGTTGTTTTGTAATACTGCATGAATAATGAGATCAAATCTTATTACTTTGCCCATATTCTTTATTATTTTGTGTCTCTCTTGTCGACTTTGGTAGCGGTATAATATCTAACTGGATTTCCTTGGGTTACATAGTCATGTATTGAAAAATATATGAATGGTGACAGATCGATAACGAACCTCGTGATTTTATTAGCAGCGAGATTAAAACCGTCTATCATTCTAGGCCGTGATCTACGCTTTAGAAAAACTGCTGTATATTTTTGGATTTATATAATCGGTACTGAGAAGACAGTTCGTAGTTTATGACAAAAAACAACTTTCATAGATAGGATTTAACTGGACGCATGTTTTTTAAACATATCCAAACACCAAAATAATGCATTTACGGATATTTGAACGTATGCCTCGATTCATGCTTTGTTTTTCAGTTTTTTAAATGTAGTATAATATTTTTTTTATTAAAGTGACACTACTTACGTGGTCGCAATGCTGGCTGCTAGAGGTAGCCGTTAACATGGACGTTTCTACAAGACAGATTGATTACAAGTCTCCCAATTCCAATATATATCCAACCATATATCCATATTGAGAATCTGATAGTTATGGGACAAGCTTCACACGTACAAAGTGAGCCCTACTTAGATAACTAAAGTGTGCTCTGTCAGACGTTCATAAGACAGTGGCACGGAAGAACTCGTCTGTATAATAAATAGCGAACGATCCAACGATCAATACGATAAATATTGGTACTGTAAATAAGACGTGCTACCTAAAAAGGGACTAGCCTCAGTGGCCTCAGCTAGAAATTCTCAGTAGAGAATAAAATATTGTGGGACACAGATAGAGTAAACTGAGCTCATGTTAGGCCTTTTATACGTAGATCAGTAATTCAGTGATTGATTTGCTTGAACAAACGTTTCGTTTGACCACTCGGTGAGAAAGAATTAGACAAAATATTTTTTTCGTGCCATTCGTTTTGCAGCGCAAAATGGCCCATACATTTTTGTATAACAAAGCCTGTTTACATCAAAAACTAGATACAATATATTAACATTTCTGCAATAAGCTAAATGGAAAACGGCGCAAGTATACTAGTTTACTGATACTAGAAAGTATTCCTGTCTCTTGTCTTGCAGCATAATGTACAACCTCTGTGTTCGTATAGAAGGCTATTATATACACA